GCACCATGAGCTCTCGATGCAGCATGAGCGTATGTATAATGGCAGTCATGTCAGGTAGGTCTCCGTCTGCATCCTTCTGCTGTGTGGCATACCCTCGGTCCTGCTTGGGCGGCTGTGCTCGAACATCTGACAACACTAGGGCAGGTCTGGCAGAGTCAAGGCCAAAGGGACTACTAAGGCAATCTGACATTGTCAAAGCCGCAGATGCATCTGCTTGACATTAACCGCAGCACCCTGGGCAAAGAGAGCATGACCAGCCTCTGGAAGCCAGTCTGCTGCAGCCTGTGTGTAGGCTATCGGCACTTGAACTCGATCATCCATGCAATCATTGAGGTCCAATGGATTCGCTTCTTCCTCCCAGGGGTCTTGCGACATAAGGCTCGAAAAGGCAAGTGCAGTCTCCACCAACTAAGGTTGGCAGTTGCGCTGGCAGGCGCGAGCGAAGGGGCAGGCGACTTGGGTGACGGCAGCTAAGGCTGACCCCACTCCTGCTTGCATGGTTTAAAAACCAGCTGTGAGCCAAACATTGCGGCGGGATGCAACTGCAAGGAAACGGCTAAGCTCCCAAAACAGCAGGGGGACTCCTCAAGGAACAGAATCTTTAAACAGTCAGGAAAAGAACCAGGTGTGCCTGCTCCAGAGTGTGTCACATAGACTGCATCCCCTGTGCCTACGATTCATGGTCATCTGCCTGAGGGTGCATTAGTGACAGTAACCAGGCCACGTACACGAGGCCACACAACTGAGACTGCAAGTCGGTAAGGGGGGTGAGGAGGGCACCTTGCACATCATGCGGCATATCGTCAACAGTTTGCTCAATATCATGCACTAACGCATGAAAGCCTTGTACCCTGGCGTGGAGTGCTGTTTCAATCTGATGGTGTGTGCGCTCTACCTGGCGTTGGGGAGGCGCCTGCGCCATTGACTGTGGGTCCACCCGGAGTACCTGCTGCTGCTGCCTGTCAGTAAACGTCCAAAGTCCTGCACGCCGCGGTAGCGAGCCTGGAAAGGGGCGTGTTTGCAAGAAGGCTTCGAGAGGGTCCATGTTAGTTGCAATTTCCCTGGCTGGCACGGTATCTGCCAGTACAGTGAGAAGATGATCTTCATGATGTTGTATGTGCAGGATCATTCTGCGGACCAAAGTTCTCCTTGCGCCATAAATGGTGGCTCCTCTAGCGTTGATGGCAATACATCCCTGATGGTAGAGTGGGATGATGGTTCCTTCGATTGTGGCCCTAAGCTTAAGCAATGCCGGTGGGAAATGAAATCCCTCCGTCCATTCAGGGAAGGTGGTCTTGACATTTTCTGTGACAGTGTCCACCGGAAAGAAATGCAGCAAATAGCACTGTGCACGTTGCCCTTTATAGGGAAACTGTACAATGAGGTCCAAGACACCGTAACGTATGTCACCATGGTTGAGCTCAAGACGTACAAAATTGGTGACATCGACATAAGTGCCATCTTCTGCCAAAAGCATCAAAAGATGTCTCACAAGTCCTTGATGGACGTGGCTTGGCAGCTGAGTGGGACAGGAAAGCCCATAAACAGCTCCATTATAAGGAGCTTTTGGTCGGTACCGGACGAGTATGGACGCGAATACGTCCAAGACCACCAAAGTGCTCGACGAGCATGGCAAGCTCCTGTCTGCGGTCGTTGAAACCCTGACCAAGATCGATAGCGTCCGATAGCGGCGTTCAAAGTTTGGTGTAGAGTGCGATCTCAGCAGGGACTGGAAGCGGCAATACGCCGGTGACACCCTCGAAGAGTGCCTTCGCCCGCCTCCTCCTGGATTCAGCGCACAACCTATCCGCTGCCACCAGGACGAGCAGGACAGCCTGTGCAGCAGGTACCTCCCGGCGGACCTTCTTTGCCGGGCGGATCCAGTGGGGTTGCTTTGAGTGGAGCTGCTGTTTTGAGTGGGGCTGCTGTGCCCGGAGTCGTGCACCTCCAGCAGACAGATTTTACAAGCGCATGCAGAGTGGACTGGGGTGGTAGTCACCTAGGTTCATTCCATCCAGCTGCGTGAGACATGTATCCACTTGGCAAAAGAGGGAAGATCTTGTGTGGCTTCAGCAGTGATTCACTTTGAGCCTGACTTGTCAGGTTTTTGAGTCAAGGGCATGTGCATTTCACTGCGTTTCTTTTCTTTTTGTTTGCTTTCTTTAGTGGATTCCACGGGGGTTTGAATGGAGGAGCAAAGGGACTGACACGAGATGAAAGATCTGAAAGATCAGGGATTGAAGGCAGTTTTGCATCCAGAAATCAAACAGTAACATGGAGGGATTGTAACTAAAGGTTGCACACCTAGCTTCCTTTTCTCAACGCATTTGCTGTGATTCCATGTTCACTTGATTGGTTGCAGTTGCATGTGACTAGCAGGGTGTATCTAAGAAGATTGCAGTGCAGACAGTAAAAGGGTTGGTAACTAGAGGGTTGTCTAGATTCCTTTTTCCATTTGCTGTGGAGTTGAGCTTATGTGCATTTGTGTCCTGGCAGGAATCTTCACGTGAATCGTTTGTCGTTTCGACCTGTCAGGTACCACCTTGAAAGTGTCGAGCTGTCAAGATCCCAATGATGAGGAAAAGCAAGTGAAGAGTCATTACTGTGAGACTCAAGAAGATTTTGCTCTCTGAGGGATCTTGAGCTGTTGAGCTTGGTGTCTTGCATTTTTGATCTTGGTTGATCGTGTTTTGGACTTGCTTGTAGCTGGTTGTCTGGGATTTGTTGACGTTTGATCGACTCAAAGACCATCTTGCAGGACAGGAGTTGAGATCTTAGTTGACGCTTGACCCTTAGTGGCTCAGAGAAAACGAAGAGAAGAGAAGAAGAAGACAGGAAGAACCAGAAGAAGGTACGAGGTGACCCAAGAAGGGGTGTGAAAAGTGTGGGTAGCACGCCTGTACAGTGTGTGGATCACATAGTACCTGTCTGTAGTGAAACTTTTCGTTTTTCTCTTCTTGGGGTTGGAGCTGAGTAGGGATCTTCCTTTTGGAGTGTGTTCTCTTTGACCTCCTTAGCAGGACAAGGTGGGATGTGACCAAGAGTGGCTGGGAACACCTTTAGAGAAGCCCTGGCTAGAGCTGTGTAGAGCTGTCTGTGTATAGCATGGAATAGCTTGAGAGTGTTTGGAGATGCTTTCTTGTTCCTTTAACATGTTTCGGACGACTGCGACCAGTCAGACCTTTTCAGAAGAAGAGATGAAGGACTTTGATACAGTCAAACCGACTGTGATGTTTGGCTCAAGGAGTGGGATCTAAAAAGAGGACGCTTGCGCTTCCGTGTTTTCACAATTATAGTGAATCATGTTCACGCATAATATGTCATAAGATTTGAAGTGATCAGGAATTCCTCAAATGTGAGGACAATCGGTCCCTTTACGACAATCGCTCCTGGCCTTGTTGAAAGTTTTTTGAATTGGCAAGTTTTGGCTGAAGAGCTCTGTGCTGCCAGGGGAAGCATAGTAAAGCATTCTCAAGGGGTTGTGAGCTGATCGAACAGGTGCTGAAAGCAGTTTGTTGAAACTTTGATTGGACAATTTGGCTGAAGAGCTGGCAGGGTTCCGACCCTTACAAACAACATCAAACGCCTGTTGCGGACGGTGGCGAACGGTTCATACGTTGCGAAGAACAAGACTCCACCTCCAGACGCCCAGAGTGCAATGCTTTGCTGTGCATGGAAAAGGTGTTTGCGACCTGCAATGGTCCTTGTAGTTTTGATTACTTGATTCCATGTCATAGGACTCAAACCTGCAGCACAGTTCTGCATTCGGTCGTGCCAGCCGGGTGAATCATCATGAAGATCAACAATGGGTGAGAACACCCTCTTCACGCCAATCCAAATCTGACAACTCAACCACACGACCTGACGATTCCCTGTGCCCCATCTTTCCGCGTCTGTCCGTGCACAAAGTGCTGCGTCTGCACAAAAATCACCTCCGTCACATGTCGCAACCTCACGATTTCCCTGCACCACGCAAATCGCACTTCCACCCCAAAAAACCCACACAAAGTCCTGCGCCTGCACAAGGAACTTTTGGAAGTCTCGCACGAAACGCTCGTTTTGGAGACGCGTTTTTTGAGAAGTCTCGCACAAAACGCTCGTATTGGAGCCTTGAAGCGTGTTTGGAGGAAGTCTTGACGAAACGCCAGTGGCAGTGACTACTTCAGCTAGAATTCGTCATTTCACTGCGCGACTGCACTCGACTCGTGTCCGAGCATCGTCCGATTTGGACCCCTCTCGAGACCGTGTTCTTTCCAGAGGAAATCCATTGTTATTTGGTGTTGAGCACTCTAAGCTTGGGGCAGTGATTGAGTCCATGAAAGACATGAATGTTGTTTTTAGTGCTTCTTGTCGTTGAAGACTATCGTATACTTGCAAATATAGACCCTTATCTTCAACTACTCAGGTAAACTCCCGCGCGGATGCGTACTAAATTTGACCAAGGTAAGTAGCGTACGTATTTCGCTAGTAAGTTTACCCGAGGTGATTGAGATGATTGCATTACGTAGTTGCTGGTTTTTGAACGTAGTTGTGAACTCCTAGAATCGACTTCATATCTTCTCACATCCTAGGGTTACCAACGTAGTTGGAAGCTCCGGGTATATATCTCAAACTTTTGTTTTTTTTCCCCTACTCTTAAGTTGACGTTTGACTCGACTCCACCAACGCCACACTGCATCTTTTACATGTTTCTATTCTCCTCCCGCTGTCCTACCTTTCGTGTATCTCGCTTTTCAAGTTCATCAAACGTCCTTCAATTTCAACTGTAGCAGAATAGGGCTTGTTTGCAGTTCGAAGTGCATCCATGTTGCGACCATCCGTTGCTCGCACACTTGCGACTTGCGCTGGAACATGGACCAGCAGTTGATGTGTTTTAGCGTTGTTTGAAAGCACTCTTCCAGAAAGAATATGTCATGCGCAACCATTGTGGTTTGACAGGAACATGAACAAAATCAGCAGACGAATGGACAATGCACGCTTTGCATTTTTTGCACTGATGTCGGAATTGGTGTGAACGAGCAGACTGATTTCAAGAAAGCGCCAAGTCATGCCGGTGGGCAATGTTGCTGCTATCATTGCTGCGCGAAGAGCGCGCAGGCACAGCAAAGGCTTTCGTCCGACCCCAGCAACTTGGAGGCGGAGGTGGTGCGTGTGAGTCTGGAAAGGTGTTGGCTCGGAAGGTGGATAAATAGTGATGGCCTCCAACCTACTAGCGATTGTCTCCAACCTACTAGTGATGGCCTCCAACCTAATAGGGATGGCCTCTACCCTAATAGCGATGGCCTCCAACCTAATAGCGATGGCCTCCAACCAAAGCGGTGGCCTCCAACCTAATAGCGTTGTGTTGTTTGCAAAAATAAAAAACCGGTGGCGAACTTCTTTGTGGCATCGGTATTTTTTCTTCATGATCACGCTGAGGTAAGCTCTGCCGAGCAGAGGCGTTTGCAAGCTGCAATAGCAGAGCGGAACCGCAAGGCAACCGTACTCTCCTGCTTCAAAACGTTTTGGTTTCTTGAACAGAAACGTAACTTGAAACCAATATTAAGCTGAGGAATCCTCTTGAATTGCTTCGATTCATGCCCGGTTGTGTTTTTTTGTCAGGTGAAACTGATGAAGATCATCAGGCTGCGGGACTCGGAGACTCCATGGGGCCATGGCAGGGACTTGTGAGTTGACCATCCATGGAGTCAAGGCGAGTCATGGCAGGAGATTTTGCGAATTAAGGCATCGATGGGCGAGTCATACTTTTTAAAAGACCCTGTATAGTATCTATATAGTTACAGTTCTTACTTATCTCTCTCTCTCTCTACATATATATATATACACATGTTTGTCCAGTGTTCCTTGATACACGAGGTGTCGGTTTTTATGTTGACGACCTCTGTCGAGGACCTACGACACCAACCAGTCGGGCAAACTCGAGTGTTGGGCTTAGGAATGCAGTTGGGAGAGCTCCCAGTCAAATATCCACGGTTGCAACTGGTGGAGCAGTTCCGAGGCGAGATCAGATTGTGAAGTTGCTGACAGATACGGACTCTTCAACACCGCCCGGAACACCACCAAGAATCTTGGCAAAGCGGGTTTCTATCAATTTTTCTTGCAAATCGTTCGGTCGCTCCACATATTGTGTTGATCTTCATTTGGATTCCTTCCATCTGTCCTCGTTTGGCTATGCACTCATTCGCTACCTGCTGGAAATTCACACGACTTCCTTCTCGTTCCTGCCTTGTCAAGCACCCCAACCTGGGAGAAATGCTGGAAGGATGCTGCGCAAACCATCGAACCGACACATTTGGTAGTTCGTGTTTTTGTTGGATATTATTTCCACTTCGGGCTCCGGAAGACTCGAGCTTTCCGGGTCCGTCTCTTGCACAAGCTTATTCTGCTTCTCAGGGGCGTCCCATCACGTTCTGCCTGAGTCCATTGGATCGAAGCCGCTCCCAGGTGCTGATCAAGTGGACTTTCTTTTGAAGCTCTATGACAAGGTGAAACACCGTGCTGTTCCATGATGGCCGATGTTGATGTTCTGTTCCTACCGTACAAGTCAGGCTGGAGATCAATCCATCGAACTTGGAGAGCTGGAGGAGCTGCTCACTTGTTTCTGGTCTGCAGGAATTCGGAGGATGAAGCCCCTCAGTCGTGCAGTGGACATGTGGACTCCTCCTCCTCCTCTTTCTCCTCCTCCTCCTCCTCCTTCTTCTTCTTGGAGCCAAACTGCAGCTGAGGTTGGCATACTTACACCGAGCATCGAGAGCTTTTTGAAAGCAAGCTGGAGAAGCCACTATGCTCAAGAACCTTTCCCTGCTGAGCCGCTGAAGTCTGTCAAGATGGCAGAGAGACCGGTTTATTTCTACTGACCGCCCAGTAGAGGTGGTCCGCAGAGTCGTCCTGGAGCTGAGGTTTGATATTTCCAAGACTGGCAAACTATCACAGGAAGAGCTGAAGGCCAACTGAAAGGATTGTTTCTTGTCACGACTGGAACACTCGTCTCGCGACTCTGACGAATGAAAGTATAGCACAGCAATGATACTGTCAGAAACGCTGGCTCGTGCGACACGAGCCTGGAGGCAGCCTGACCATGTTGCTTTTCTTTGTACATGCAGAGTAAACATATACATATATAATATATCACTGGTGGACTGGTATCAATGATGGCGGAGATTGGCTCGATATTTTTCTTGAAGGGACTTGGAGTCACACATTTTTTTGGCAAGACACTTCCTTGCTTGCAAACGCCCTGTGAGGCCTATTTGACGGATCTCAACGGTGGGATAGAAGTTGAAGACAGTGAGGTGGAGTGGGTCATGAAGGAATCTCGGCGATGTGGTGCAACAACATCGCTGTTTCTATCCTTTGACCAGGTTTCAGTTTGACCCAAGTTTTCGCGTTTGTTCTGCCCCCGTGCCCCGTTTGCTTTTGCGCTTTTTTTCTCACCAGTCGTTGTCGGTCGTTGGTTGTGCGGTCAGGAGGGCGATGTCCTAGGAGATGGGCAGCTGAACAAGATGGAGCTTTGGCGCGCGACGGCCCTGTGGACGCTCGGCGGAACTGAAATGGATCTTTCACCAGGAGCGATTGGGGTTTTGTCTTGCCTGGCTGCTTAGCGAGACTCCGGGTTTGGGTTTTGTTTCGCTGCTGGCTGCGGCTTTCCGCTTAGCTAGATTGACACCTTGGTTTTGACACCTAAAAGAAGGGCATCATCCAATGTGCCAGCCCCCACTGCATCATTTTGTGGCTTCGACGTCTGATTGCTAATGTTCCGTGGGGAAGTGTCAGGTTGCCGGAGATATCATTTTGTTGAAACAAGTGAAACGTATTTCGTGTGATTGTTAGGACATACCTTTTTCTTCTCTCTCTATATTCTTGGAGCAATGACAAGGAACTACTAGCGTAGCTTTGAGATTTCCTACATTTATTTCCTCAAAAGTACCAAGCTCTTCCATTTGTTTTAGCTTTGATGGATGTCCAACCCCTTTCAGTAGATGCACTAGACTCACTGTTTTAAGACTTTGCAGGTTCGCTCTTCTTGTTGCATCGGGTACTCGAAGATTTCCTGTTTTGCAGCCTGCGACGTTTTCCCATGAGGTTTTCGCACGTCGAGAAGCAGAAGTCGAACGACTGCTGCATCATCTCGTAGACCCAAATTGTACTGTATTGTCTGCAAGCTCTGTACGCTCAGCCTGTAGCCAAAGAGCAAAGGGCTGCAAAAGGCACTCATTTATGGTGACCAAAGACCACAGTCAAGCATGGGATTGGTACCATGTTAGGAGCAGACATCCTCCAAACCCTGGCAAATCAGCGGCAAATCTGACGATGCAATAGCCGCACACAACAACATTTGACAGTACCTCATATGTGGGAGCCTTCTGCTTTGCACGGCCTTTCCTCCGTTGGAGGCGGCGATCCGGAGACTTCCCAGCTTTGCGAAATGTGCAGGGCTGGAAAAGAGTTGCTGAAAAAAGACATCTCGAAGTTCAGGCATGACTCAATTATTCTGTCGTTTTTTGGGAGCAAAGCGGAGCTTGAATACTTAAGCAAAGTCTCAGTTTTCAAGTAAGTTCACATCTGATGGAAAGCTCTTGGAACTTTTGGGCTCAAGATTCGTATGTTCATGCAGGATTTGGAGGAGTTTATCCATTTCAACCCATATCAACCGTGTCGTGTCAAACCCCAAATTAAATTGTGAAGAATCAAGCCGTAGACCATCGATAGACCAATGAACCATGAAGCAGGATTCCGAAGCTGGATGGTGTGTGCCAACTCTTAGATGCCGGTGCAGAATCGCTATGTCTGAAGCCAAGATCTACCGTGCTTTCGTTTGTGGACGGATCGGAAATTTGATCGTGGTGCAACTTGACCGACAAAGTGACAAGACTTCACAGATTGCGCACTTTGCGCAAGAGGTCTTGGGTCTTTGGTCCTGCCATGATCTGGGTGAGGCATGGCCTTTTGAGGAGATGACATTAGACAAGCTCCTTGAAGCCTTGGACCCTTCTTTAGCTGGTTGGCACGACTGTGCCATGTACATGCAACATCGGCATCAAAGTCGCCCCTTGCAAGCACTGGGTTTGGCATCAACCTCGTTGCTTCGGAAGCGTGCGGCGCTGTTGGGACTCACCCTTTGCGCCTTCCTGGCAGGTGAGGAGGCAGAGTTGGCGTACTTCGGCAGCTTTAGGCAGGAAGTGAACATCATTCGAAAGATGGAAGTGAAGAAGATTAGACCCCAGGCCACCTTCAATGGCACCTCAAGCATTGCGCGGCCTCGGACTGCTTTCGCTGTCTCCCAAAACAAAGAGAACAATTGTGTGGAGGGCAGCAGGCTGCCTGAAGCTCGGCTGCTGCAGCAGTGGCAAGGCATCAAAATCCCATGGATGCCAGAGAGCTCTACAAAATCGCAGAAGAGAAATCTAGCGTACATTGAACCTGTGTCGCCGGAGGCTTTCCAGGAAGTTCTCGTGCGGGCACGGCTGTCTTTCCAGGAGGAAGTTCGAAAGCCACAGTACCAGAAACCTCCAGCAGAGCGTTTCTTTTTCGAGCTCCAGAAGGCCTTTCGCCCATGGCCCTGCATCATTGCAGCGCACTCCGAAGGCAAAGCCATGGTTGAGAATGGTGTGAGGAGCTTTTGCTTGGTGATGGACAGAAAGATGAAAGAGCCTTTTGGTAAAGGAGCTTTAGTCTTTTTCGAGGTCAAGCAGCACGATGGCCAGATCTACTCATTTCACTCCTTGTCTCGAAGTCACCAGAGCATGAGGCGAAATCGAACTGAAGAAGACGAGCGCTTGGCCTTCCAGTTGGCCTTTGGCACAGAAACCATGTCGCGCCTTGAGACCGGCTTGGTGCGTCAGTTCAAGGTGGACAGAAGACCCACTGGTTGGCGACAGGACGACTTCAAAGCCCCGAAGGGGCGTGGGATCTTTGCATGGACGCTTTCGGAGACTCTTCAGCAAGGCTTTGTAGGCTGGATGGCAGGAAAGCAGGAGAAGAATCAGAAAGTGAGAAGGCCTGAAGTGGATCCGCCCTTGTTCCAACGCTTTCTTCGGGACTGGGAGAAGCAAGAAGCCAGTCGGATCAGCCAACTAGACCCATCTGTGGACCCGAGCGCTCTAGAGAGGTTCAGCAGCCGTGTGCGACTGGTTTCGTCACAGGATACCAGCATCCGGCACTCTCATGAGACGATCAGCGATATCTTCACGCATGGGCACAGGAATAAGTCAATCTATGACTTGGTGTCTGACTTGAAACAAGGCATTGTAAATGCTCTGGACATCCCTGCCTTGGTAGCCGTGAGCTATGAGGGCAAGTCTTTTGTCATCATGGGCAACCGAAGGCTTTGGGCCTACAAGAACTGTGGAATGCCGATCCAATTCAAGATGATCGTCCACGACTTTTCCCAGCTTCATGGCATGGATCTGGAAGAGGAATACGCGTTCAGGTTTAAGACTCTCCGTGCAGCCAGCACCACAACAGCTGGCCAACACGTGGACGTGCGACGAAGAAGCACTGGAAGCGGCCACGTGCCAGCCAAGGCGCCGGCCAAGGCGCCGGCCAAGGCGCCGGCCAAGGCAGCCAAGGCAGCACCAAAACGGAGCAACAAATCCATGGGCAGCCGTGTGGATTTGTGCCTCCAGCCATGCCCCAAGTCACGCCCTGAGAAGAAGGCCATGCCGAGGCCAGCGAAAAAAGCAAGGCCAGCGCCGCCTCAGAAAGCGACCGGGCCAATTGGTGCAAAAAGTGTTTAGTTTTCATTTAAGGGCGTGTCCCGATTCTTTCTTTTAATAGCGCGCCTTGCGAGGCTTGATTTGACTTAGCTTTGAGGTGAGACCTCAACCCGTGACGAAAAAGAGTCAAAAGGTTGATTGCACTGGACATTGGTTTGGGTGTTCGACATTGGGCATCGTGATCGCAGCAGCACAGTCTCGTTGTCATGGATGCTTGGTGGATGAAAACCCAGTGTGTCAAAACAATCACGCAGTGATAGACAACCAGTTTCCTTGAATGAAATTGGCCAGTTGCAGCTTTTGTTCTTCAAAAGGCACGGAACCACGCGTTATTGTTCTGCAAGCATGGCCTCACTCAGAAGGTGGTGCCTCCTAAGGAAGCATACTTCATGGATAAATTCGCGTGCGCTGCCAAGGTCCGACTGGCCTTGCAGAACATATTTGGTTTGTATCTGTATGTCACACAGTGATCGCAAACACACACACACACACAGACACACACACAGACACACACACAGAGACACACACACACACACACACACGGACACACACTGAATTTCTTGGAAGGCTGGTGAATTGCTTTCGAAGGGATTGCAACTGCATTGTTTGGTCAAGTTTGCTTGTTAGCTTTTTGCTTTAAATGGGGAGTGTCCAACAAATGAGTTAGAGTCAGAATGTATTTTCCCTTCGACAGGTATAACCCCTGGCGCGGTCTCCCTGTTCCTACACACCCAAAATGGGTGTCTCCCATCGAATCTTCGCCATAGCGCGGCGCGCCCCTCGACGGTCCTTCGGAGCCTTGGGACCGCATGGTCTACGAGCAGGCGGAAAGACGATGGATTGAGACCTGGATAGAGATGAATTGTGTACTCCAGTGTGCGGAGCACTTCATCCAAAGGTTGTGCAGTGTGCCAACCGCAAAGAGTGATTAGTTCATTTTCCTGCTGTGGCTGCTTCCCTTTCAGACACTCCTTTGCTTTTGATGATGCATCGGTTCAGCCGCTCTTTGTTTTGCTGCAAGGCTTCTCTTCCCGGCCTGCACACTGGGATGAGGATTGCTGTCAGACCACTGTAGCTCCCTCCAGGTTTCTTTTGGTTGGCCCACTTGAAGCAACCTGCGGGGCAACCTCAACATCCCTTGCTGCAATATGGGTCCTGGGAACATTGTTAGTGAATCAGAATGCGGCTGTTGACTTGTGCTGAATTTATTTGTGCACGATTTGAGCCAATAACTATATCATTGGTTTCTGGTTATGCCACAAGCCCTGGCAGGACCCAGACTGTTTGCTGGCAACGCAGAAGCCGGGCCAGGTTGATTTGACCCGCCGGGCTGCACCCAGATCGAGTAAGTATAGAACATTTGTTGAAAAAGTGAAGGGATCCATTGGGATGGGTTGCTGGATGAAACTTGTTTTGGCGCACCGAGACTGGATCCACTCAGTGCTTGGCAAACCGCTTCAACGCAGTGATGCCGAGCAGGTGGGTGGGGCGCAAATGGACGCGTGTGGGACCGATTTCGTGGACGTCGGTCAGGCCCGCCAGCGCTTCTGGCTGACCAGGGAGCAACGCTGCCAGGCCTGAACGGATGGGTGTTGCGTCCACGGACGGAGGACGATTGGAGGATGTTGGTGGTTTTCCTGCACCAGGGGCTCAGAGGACGCAGACCAGTTTGTTAAACTTTTTCTTGGGGAAAGGGTCAATCTCGATGATCTCTGAGCTTCCGGATCTCGAATGCAAATGTCATCGATTCAGAATCGATTCATGTGGCGATTTAGCGACTGTCCGTGCCATGAGGGCCACAACACGATGCCTGATGATTCGTGGTGGACACTTCTGCAGAGCATTGTTGCACGGAGGGCACCCGTAAAGGCAGGGTCACAATGGAGGAGTTGTTGCAATTGTGTAAGCCTGGTCAAATGCAAGTCAATGCTGGAGCGAGATGAAGAGAATACTTCAGGTGCCAAGTTGCATTTGTTTTTTTGGTCCTTGGGCAGATGTGTTGTCTTAACGGTTTCCGTGTTTCAAGCTCGTCTCGCTTTACGCTGATGATCATGCGCCAAAAACTCTCCCTCTCTCTCTCTCTCTTCCGACCACGTTTCAAATCCTGCCACCAGGCCACTGCAGCATTTCTTCTCTATTGCTCTGGGATCACTCTGGCCTTTGAGAATCTCAGGAGACGGCCTTCAGCGGTTTTTTTGGATCGGAAGCCCCCAACCTTCAACCTTCTAAGAAGGCAGAAGGCAATATCAGTGACCAGCATGGAGACTTCTTGAATTTTGATTGCTGCGAAATGCGAAAGCCAAGTTTTGACGTAGATAGTCGAAAAGCACCGGTTGGTAGAAGAATACCTTCTTCTTATGGGAGCCTGTTTGAAGGGCCCACGTCAACTTTTGCAGGAAATTGTATAGTGATGGCCTAGCACATAGAAATATGGAGTCATTCATGGAATTCATTCCAAATCAATTCAGTGGACAGAGAGGGAGTGTCCTATATTCCGCCACGCATGCGTCGCGTCGCGCCGCGTCCGGTGTCCAAACGGTCTTCGGTCAGGAACTTCTCGACCACCGGGCAGCCAGTGGTGGTGGATGAGGCCCTCTTTTGTGGTTGTGGCACCTGCGAGTGGTCCGCTTCATGGGCTGGGCCTGACCTTGGGAGCGGAAAAGCCGTTTCGTCCAAACACGGACCACCGGGGAATTCAGCCATCCGACCAGACGACCCCACAGACTCTGAGAGTTCAGACCCACTCGATTGGAGGGTGTGTACAATGTCAGATCTTCGAAGATGCCTTGCATTCATTGAAAGACCACCACTGGTGTCTGGTGCCCCTTGCCCCCTTGTGTGGGTCTTGTAGATTCCAATCGGGTCCCCGGTCCCGGACCCCCGGTCCCGACCGACGCTCGCGACGCCGCTACGAGAGACTCGTCGAGACGCAGGTCACCCACGTGGCACCTGAACCGCAGACGAGAGAGCGCGAGCAACGCAGGGTGATTGGTGTGAACATCACCCAGGTAGGAGAACGTCGCACTTCGCACTGACTTCCGACCTAAAGTGTTAGCTTGGGTGATAAACACCAGGCAAGTCATGGACCACAGCCCTTTACAAAGGACCCTGTGTGTTGTCTTTTTCGGTGCACCTGCGTCACCTGAGGTACAATATGTCATGGCCAGTGCCGGGTCTCAGAGGATGCGAGCGCGCCTCCGTCTCACCGGGGAACGGAACGCGCCATGCCATGCTTTCCGACCGTGGGTCGGTTGCCCACGTGGAACCGCTCAGGTCATGACGTGATGCAAACGTGCACGGGCTTTATTGCTACGGCCTGGCGACTCACGGGGCGGGGCGCTTGTTCTTCGCCATGGAACATCCGTGGGGTGACTATAGTTGGGGCAGCCAGGGGAAGGTCTTCCAATGGTTGTGGAATCGCCGGTGGATGAAGAAGCCTCTCTTTTGGAGATGTGGATGGCCATACTGGTTCTGAACCTGCAGAGGCCTTATTTGATCAACAGTTAACATTGAGGGGTTTCCTGATTCAATCCCACCCATCTGTGGCAAACCATGGACCCATGCTGTGAACCATGCGCAGTCGCAACAGCCTTTTCGTGGGTCCAACGCACCACATGAGGCGCTCTTCATGACCTTGTCCTTCCGCTGCCCGGCGCAAATGGTGAAAGCAGCCTTGCTTCTTGAAAGCTGAAGAGTTGACTGACAATCAGCCTGCCTAGTACTGAGTTGAGCAGACCTTGGACTTGGACCTTGTTAGAGTAACGACATCAGTGGTGCTTTCACTCTTGACGGATTGGTGCTTGGACTTTTGGGCAAAGGCAGCCATCCTTCACGAAAGTTCAACTGAAGATGTTGTTTCAAGGTATGAACCGGGCGGCCTCACGGTGGTGGCATGGCAGAGAGATGTGCCAGAGCCCCAAAGCAGAAGACGAAGACCCGAACGCCCTAGCGGTGGGGCCCTGGGTGTGTGTGGAACATATGGCACTTTCTGTTTTTTTCTGTGACAGCAAGTAACAATTGCTCCATTGGAGGTTTGCTTGGAATCTTCGCATTCACGGCTGGCTTTTTCACCAAAGCTGTCGATCAACGGAGGGGTGGTTGGTTCGACAAGTGGGCATGTCACCCGATCTTCGGTCCCAACTTCAAGTCCAGAATCGTGGGCCCTTTTAAATGACTACTGTAATCATACTCCCTATTAACCACTAGTTACTAGATAGTTGGCTCTTTTTCACTTCAAGTACCACTTCCTAATCGCTAGATATTTCACTATTCATCATCTTTTTGCTTGTTCTCCCTTGCCTGCTTTGCCAGAACCCGCAACTCGCTGGATCGGGCGACCCCAGGTGCTCAGCTTCTCTCAAATGCAAGGAACTTCAAGCACGTGACCTCGGTGAGCGTCACCGACAAGGTGCATGGGCCGAGAGTCGGAGCTGCAGTCAGCAGTCAGCTTCGATGCCCACATGGTGCTCGCGCTTTTCCACGTCGGGATTTTTCAGGGCCACCCTGAAAAAGTTGGGAGGTGGTGAACATCAGCTGGGGACATTTCTGATCACTCTTAGGTGTTCACCGGTGGTGCTTGTTGACATGGCCCATGCACCTGGGCTCCTGCAACTTTGGCTAGATGATGGCAGATCACGATGCTGGGTGAACGAAATGCCGCGGCCGGGACGCTCGAAACGGCGGTGGCGCTACGCGGCGCTAGGCCTTGGCGGTGGAGCTCAGCATGTTGGGCTATGCCTTCGTGCGAGCGGCCGAGTTCCACATGCGCCTGGACCGGCGCCTGGGACGGTGGAACACCGTGGTTCCGATGTTTTGGGAGCCAGCAGAATCAAAGGAGCCAGCAGAACAAGCCATGATGTTCAGCACCAAATGTTGAGCATGAATGTGAAAGAACCATTGAGCCGCAGTGCACTCTACTCATCTTCGAAGGATTTTAGCGCTCAGACAAGACACATCCTTGAGATCCCAAAGAAGCACAGTGCTTGCGACACGCTTGCGTGGTGATCCGTCTGCCGCAGGAGCCGGATGAACGCTACACGGAAGCCTTTCGACCACTGCTGCCACCCGCGACCTTGAAGGACCGGGGAGCAGCGGATTTGGTGAACACATGGAGTGGGGTAAGCCCGAGATATCCGAGATCCGAAATATCTCGGTGTTGTGGGGTGTTGTGGGGACTTGTGATGCGACGAACCAGCAAACTTCAAGAGGGTGTAGATTTGCCAGGAACTCTGCTCAAGTTGCTTTTGAATGTTTACTATTCCGAAGGGTGCATTTCATGTGATTTTCTGTCATATATTCCGGATTCAATGTCGTTGTCCGGAAATGCGCGTGTCAAAAGCCAGTACCTCGAGCCAATACCAAGAATGACAGGTCAGTTAGTTTGGCCATGTAGCCTGATATTGGTCCGCGGAAGAATGAGCAACATGGCGACGGTTTACCTTATACAAGAATTATAGCATTTGACGACATCATGACATCCTTACTGGTCCGGAAGCACCCACCCGGGGAGTTCGGGGATTGGACTGAGGGATAGCAATGCCATTTCCGTCTGGCCCACCGCCGCGAAGCCTCTTCGCGGCCCGCCACTTCCAGGAGCTGCTGGCCGCACCTCACCGGCCGTACTTCTTGGCGCAGCGCATCAACAAGCGCATCGCCGACACGCCCGGAGATCCCAGACCGACCGACTGAGAGAGTGGCGCGGTGGCTGGTTTTGGGCTGGTTTTGGGGCGATGTGACCAGCATTCAAGGTATTTAGTGGGGGCAAGAGGCAATTCAGCAGACAGTGTGGTCATGTTTCCATGCATGTCCAGGATTAGGGTTTCCTTAGGTTCTGGCCATCGCATGCCATCGCCACATCCATAGTTCGACAGTGTTCCTTTTTTAAGGCAAAGGCCAGGCCACGACAATTCAGCTCCAGGTACGATGCGGGTGCCACGAAGAACGTGCGTTTGGTGTCAGACCTAGTTGGTTGGGAAGGGTGGTGGAAGATAGACTTGGCTCGCGCGGCTTGCGAAAATTGTCCCCCAAGTTCACACTACAATATATACTGTATATATATATATATTCATCCGCTGATATAGAGTTCACTCAGAGATGATAGAATGGTACGTGTTCTGCCGCTACATGAACACTCAAGACGTGTGGGAGGGGACGGCCATGAAAGTGCAATTGGCCATCGTGGCCGCTTCAGTTTCGATTGGCTGGGTTCTCCGTTCGTCGTGGAAGGAAGCACCCCCTAGTTGTCCTCCCTGTCATTGCCACTGTTCCTTTGAGGTTCCATCCCAGTTGCCTGGAGGCCCTTTGCTGGTTGCAGGCTTTTTGGCATTGATCTTCTTGGTAGCTGCATTGATTTGGACCCTCCAGAAGGACACTGGTCGTAAGGCCCCAGCTGGCTCACCAAAAAGTGGCAAGGGAGTTCAGGGCATTAGTGGCCGTTTCATGCAACTCACTCAATGATAGCAGGTGGCTTGGCCTTGGTCAACTACGGTGAGGCTGGTCCCATTTGGCACTGCCGGGCATTACTCTTCCATGCAGGCGGCCCCAACTGGGCTATCCTAATGCCTGATCACGATGTTTACATTGAGGAGTTGTCGGCTTCAAACACGGACTTCACAGGTGGCTTCTTTTATTGTGGGGAGAATGGAGCAATACCAGCACACATAGATCCGAACACGATGTATGGTTTTGATCCTTTAACACCACAGGAGTTGGGAGCTTTTCGTATGCAAGGTCAGATTTTGGCAGATGCTCACAGGTTGGCTGCAGGTTTACCCCTTGGACCTCCAGTTGTTCACCAGCAGCTCCGGCCGCCGTTGCTCCTGTGGCACGACCTCCAGGGGTTTTGGGAGCAGCGCCAGTGGCGCCCGCAGCAGGCGTGGGTGGAGCAGCCCCAGTTGCAGCTGCAGTTGAAGCTGTAGACACCTGGGTAGCCTTGGAGGATCAGGCCCCTTTCCACCCGGCTGCGCTACCAGCTGGCTCGCACTCCATTGGTGAACGTGGCATAGTTCCCGCTGGCATCGGATCCGTTTTGGTGAAGAAAGTCAAGCCTTCAGAGGCTGCTGCATATCGCATGGATGACTTACGAGTGTTGCCAATCAAGTCTGATGCACAAGGAGTCCGCCGGCAAGATTTTCCTACAGCAGTTTCAAGCATGGATGATGCAGAGCCATCTGGCGGTGGGATCCAGCCCACTGGGCCCCCAACGGCTCTCAAGCTGCTGAAGGACATGCGAGATCAGGCTTTCACGCCCAGTACTTTTCATGAGCACTGGGTTAGAACTGCTGAAATCCCGAAGAGTGATCACTCGGTTTTTGAGCATGAGTGCCTGTCCAGGATTTTGGAGAGTTTGGTTGTGGTGGATCAGTTGAATGCGCCATGTACATTTGTCAGACAATTTGGGCATTGTTTTAGCAGTAGACAAGGGTAGGAGCTCCTCACCTCAGTTGATGCGTGTCTGTCGTCGGTTGGCATGTCTTTTGATCTGCGCTGGCAGCAGCTTGACCTGTCGGTGGATTCCCAGTCATTTGAACATAGCTGATGAGGGCTCTCGGCGCTGGGAACATCTCAGGCGAGGGCAAACTATTGCCACAGGTGAGCAAGACAAAGCAAAGCAACAACTGGACGGCGCAAGACAGGCAGTGCGGTTGCAACTACAAGGCAACAACAAGCAGGAGAGAGCTTCAAAGAGGCAAAATTTCATCCAGCAAGTCACAAAGACACCCCGATTTTCGGGACAGACGTTTTTGGAGATGAACGCAATCTCGGAGGAGGTCGCATCAGACTACCGGATTCGAATGGCCCGACTGAGGACTTTTGCAAAAATGGAGGGGCTTTCTCAACGAGATGTTCGAGGACGGGGAGGACATTGGCGAGGCCACAAAGACCTTGGCTGCCGTGGTGGACGCCGTGCCAGACTGCATGCCCAGGGGAGCCTCCCCCGGTCAAGGAGGCGCTTGCAAGGCTGGAACAGGTTAGATCCCGGGACCACAAGGCCCCCGATTCCATGGGAGCTGATTGCAGCAGTGGTGCATCGTATGCTCACAAAACAGCAGATCAGCGAAGGTTTCTTGGTGCTTTTGATGTTCGATGCGTATCTGCGGCCAGGAGAGGCGATAAGTCTTCACAGGAACGATCTAGTGGAACCTACAGTACAGCATCCTCATTTTTTGCCTGAACCTCAACCCATCAGACAGAGCAGCCTCTTCAAAGATGGGACTATCGGACGAATCCATCATTCTGGACAGCAGGGAGACTCCATGGATGGGGCAGCTGTTGAGGTGGCTCAGCGACTCTTCCGTTCGACGTTACGAGGCTTCAGCCCGGTTGAATCAAGAGTTTCAGAAGTTGCCGAGGAAGACACAGAGAAGGGCGTTGGAAGCACCCGCACTCCTCAACCAATGGGCCCAAAGATTTTTCTCCCAGAAACGGAAAAGGATCTGAGAGTTTGGGTGTTGGAGATTTTCAGTGGAACAGCGCATCTTAGCAAAGCAATGAGACAACAAGGTTCTCGCTGCGCTGCTTGGGACATCGAGTATGGCCCTTTCTGTGATGTTCTGCAACCCGGGGTGCTTCGCAGTCTTTTGAAGTTCAATTCAACACATGAAGTGGTTCTTGTGTGGTTTGGTATGCCTTGCCAAAGCTGGACACGTACAAGACGTTGGGACGGGGGGCCTCCCCCTCTGCGTGACGACAATGTTTTCCTTTGGGGCCGGAACACTCTCTCCGTCTCTGACAACAGCAAGGTTGCTTTAGGCAATGTTTTGCTCTTGTGGACATGTGTCATGGCAGCGTTTTGCATTGAGCTTCGCATCCCTTATGTGATTGAAAATCCAGGCAGTTCACGTTGTTGGTTGACAGCTCCCATGAAGTTTTTGCAACAGAAATCACAGCTCGCCTTTGTTGATTATTGCCAGTACGGCGTCCCTTGGCGAAAGCAGACAGGGCTCCTCATGTTTGGCTTTTCTTCGCTAGCAACAGTACTTCGAACGTGCAATACAGTACACGGTCGTTGCAGTGCCAGTCATAAGAGGCACGTGATTCTTGTTGTGCAAAGCAAATGCCCTTACATTGGCCAGCTCACATAGTGGGGGTTGGGAGGGGTTGGATAGCGTGTCGAATTGAGAATGACATCTTCGAGACGCTTGCAGTTGACGTTGATCATGGATTGGCCCCAAATGGGGCGCTTGCAC